ACCTAACTTAACTTAATTAAACTAAACTAACGTAAGGTAAGTAGACGTACGACTACTACTAAGTAAGTAGTACGTGTGTGTGTAGTATATATATATATATATATATATATATATATATATATATCTGAAAAAAGCTGGGAGTAGCCCACTAGCTCATATGAACATATGAGCCCAACGGCCCAGATAAAATATGGGCCGATCTGACGATCACGACCTCATTTTGTGTTTGAATTTTGATTTTTTTCGTTCTACAAATCCAAATCACTTGAAATTTTGAACGTGTGTTTTTCTCATCAAGGCGCACCTAATAAAAATATAAAAGAAATTATTCGCGAAAATAAAAATGAAAAAAATACCCCCAAAACTTTTCGAGGGTATTTTGGTCAATTTATTTCATGTAAAATAGTTTTTTGATATTTTTCGAAGATTCAACTATTTTTTATGAACACACTCCTAAAATTTTAGGTGATATGGATTTGTAGAAAAAAAATTAAAATTCAAACACTACCGGACAACCGTGATCGTCAGATCGGCTCAGATTCAATCTGGGCCGTTGGGCTCATACGTTCATATGAGCTAGTGGGCTAATCCCAGCTTTTTCCTATTTTTATATATATATATATATATATACACACAACACATGCACACACTTGTTAACTGAAATGACCTCACTCCTAAAAGACGGAAGTAGGGAAAACACCCAAAAGAGAATTGGACAGAGAAATGACCTGATTGCTAATTTGTGGATGCCAAAATATTACTTCCAGACTACAAGAAATGGCACTGATCGAGCAAATAATAAACAACCAAGAAACTAATACCAAGGAATTCACAAATGATTTACATGCAGAAAGATGCCTTTGTATTTGGGAAGACAAGTAGCACATTAATGAAAAATATACCCTACCTAAACCCCATAGGTAAGATGAGCAACACACCTCTATTAATAAATATCAAAGCAAAAACCTATCAACCTCAAAAACAGCCATCGATAGAAAAATGCTTGTCTTGATCTCCAAAGTGAAATTCTCCAGATCATCACAAAGTGTCGCATTACATTAATATCCCCATTATAGAAGGTCAACAGATTGGTTGGCCATTGTATTTCGTGCTAGGTGAGATTAGAGATTCAGTTCTTTTGTTTCCATTTACTAGTGTCTCAGTACATAATCAATGTTACCTGTTAAGGAGGAAGATATGATTCTTCGTTTAAGTCTAAAAGCTTTGATCAACGGTTACTTCTAAAGCCTAGATGATAAATGTTTTCTCATTTCCTTGACACTGGAGTTTTTATTTGTATTTTCATCGAGTAAAAATTTGCATGTCCTCAATTAAGTAGTGATCTTACCACATAGATCATTAACTTTCTTGGCCATTTCTTTAATTTCCTTCTCCACCTTCTTTATGCTTGTAGAGTAAGGCCCTAAACCCTGCATCAAAGAGCTCCAAAATGTCAGCTACCAAAAGACCACCTCTCACATGAACATGCGGAGAAGATTCCTTCTTCTGCATACATCTAAAAATCCTAGAGATAAGAGAAACAATCAAAATACCATCACGAAGATAGAGAGAAGAGATCTGTAACTTCATTGAGAAGCCTTACATTTATTCAGAGACCCTAAAATATACATATACATATACATATGCATGTACCTTTGTTTTTTACGGGTAAAATATGCATTGTGCAGGTACAGGTTCTAGAGTAAATATGTGATTGAGAATAACAATTGCACATAAGAAAATGTCCATGACTTCTCTCCCTCCCTCCCTCATCCGGTCCCAGAAAATCCAAAATAAGGTCCAAGAAAATCCAAAATAGATGGAGAATAAGTTGGCACAACATTTACGCTCAAGTACAAAATCCTAAAAAGAAAACCTAGAATCTCTAGAAGGAAAATACCAAAAATATCAAAATTAACTCAATAAATATTTGAATTTGAATCGAATCCTCAGCACAAATCATAGGAATCTAAAGAAACAAATCTACATGAAAGAGAAATTAAATCGTTGATGTAAACTGAAGAAAATTAAAACCCAAACCACATGGGAAGGAAACATGCATGAACCAAGATTTCCATTAAAACCCTAAAGCCTGCTTTCTCTGTGCCTCCAACCAATCGTCAAATTATCAAAACAATATATCACTGAAATTCTATAAACGCAAGCCACAAATACAAACTTGCAATTTCTTTCCAAGAAAATCCAAAAGAATAAGCATTGAATTCTAAAATGAAACAACAATTACGACCACAAAAATCTCAAAACAAATCGAAAGTTCCTCAAAGTACCAATAACTATGCCCAAGGGAAAGACCAGTGCTCACAAACAAACCTATCGTCCTCACCGTAGAAATAAAAACATAACAGGAAACCTCACATCACAGAAACAAAAGATCTAGAAAATCGACCAGATCACAAAAAATCCTAAAATTCCTGTATAGGAGTGAATTGGAAGAGAAACCCTAGGAAAGTAAAGGGGAGAATGGGCGTACATAGGTCTTCAGTAGGGCGATGTCATCCTCGTCCAAAGGGCGAGGGTTCTTCTCGTTGATTTCCTCCTCTGGCTCAGGCGCCATTTTTCTTCTGCAACAAGTTCAGCCGCTATCTTCTCTCTCTAACTCTGAAAAACTCTCGCTTTACAGGCTCTCTGTTTCTCTCTCTATTTCCTCCTCTCTTCACTCTTTTTCCCACTTTGAAGCGCACCCCGTTTTATAAAACCCCACGAAATCTCTTTAATATGCACGGAATGACCTCACATTATACTTTTTAGAAGGAAAATAGAATGAAACTATACTTTTTAGAAGGAAAATAGTTTTAATAGAATGCGCCCCCCTCACCAAGTAAACACGTCCCAAGCATATTAGAAACCCTTTACATCTTGGCTTCAACATCATGATTGTGAAAAAATAAAAATTTAAGCTCTAAAACTAGTATATATTGTAATAAATTATCTAAAACCATTCGTTTCACCTTTAAAGTAAGCGTCTATAGATCCGCAATATCTGTATCATTTTTTAAGTTTCAATTTTCATTATTAATGTTAAAAATTGATTTTAGAGCCATGGAGATTTTTATTGCTGAAAGTGTTTTCTGGATGAGGATTTGAGGTGAGGCTTTATTTATTTTCATAAAACCTACGCCTTATAGATACCTCAACCAATAATTAAAAGAAAAAATTTATATAAGTTGGAGATTCTAAACAATCAAATTAGGGCGCTCTTCAAATATTTCTCTAGAAGAGGTTGTTATGATGCTAAATATCTTCAAATTGATCATCTCAACCTCAAGGTGTATGGATAGAAAAAAAATGAATTTCAAGTTTTGAAAATAGTGCATCTTGTAATGCATTTTTGGACCATCAATTTTCAAGATTTTCAAATTTTAATAAATTTGCTTGATCTATATTATTTTTGAAGCTTTAAATTTTATAATTTGAGATGAAAATATATTTTAAGACAATCACAAAGATTTCCAATATTGAAACCACATTTCTAGACACTATTTGAAGGTGTGATTTACTTTGATTGTTTAGAGTCTCAACTTTATATAAACCGCAATTAATTCACAATATAAAATTTTTCAAAAAATTGTACCCTAGATATATGCCTTTGTTTTTCTCTCTTTGAATCTAATTATTATATAGAACAAGATTTAAAAAACGGATCGGTGACTCGAGTCGGTCACACCCATACCCATGTTAGATCATAGAATTGGTGGATCGGATCGGATAATTGGTGGAATCGACAATTTTTGTCTCCAATTTTTTTTAAAAAATCACTATAAATCTCTAAAAATAGTGTTATTTCAGCTTCTAAACATAATTAGGAGTGATGCATTATGTACATTCATTACTTTGTAAAAATAGGTGAATACTGAGACACTGTTTTTTTGTCTGGATGTCTATATAATTATTAATTATAATGTGATATTATAATATTATATCAAAATAATTTAAAATATTAGAAAACACTTATATATTAAAAGATTAAAAAAAATCCCATATGAAGTAAAATTAATATCACATCAAAATATCAAATATTTATTAATTCTCTTTACTCATCCAAAATTTTCATGAGCTATAATATAATATTTTGTTCAAAATTTATCCTTCATGATATTTCAAAATGATCTATTAATATTTTATATATTTATTAAATTAGTCAAAATCACATTAAATTATAATTTTAAATATTTTGATGATGGTGTTATCATGGTTGTAAAGAAAAAAAAATCCTTGATAAACATTTGATTGGTAAAATGTATTTCCTCGCAACTTTGTAAGCCTTTTCTCTTTTTTTAAAACACTCTGCACATTCTAACCTTGCTTTTCACATTCTCCTACAAATAGATACGAAGCTGGATAAGAGAGAGATATGCACAAGGAAAACTAGTTACTAGGAAGGCTTTAACCAAGAGGTATTTGTTTCTAAGGAAATTATCGTTAATATACATATATTTTATTATAATCTGAAAAAAAAAAAAAACCTCAATTCTTCATAACCTCACTTGCATCCTTTATCATAAATTTTTTATTTTTTTGGACCAAAATAACATTCATGGTAGTATTTTTACTGTAATACATATTAAGCTTTACGATAATCAAAATACCATAATAAGTTGAAGGACTATTACGGTAATTAAAATACCGTAATACCTTGAAATAGTATTAAGATACTTTAATCACCGTAATATATAACTTATTCTTTACAACATTCTTAATGCCATAATGCTTTCCCACATGCTCTCCCTCTAAAACCCACCTCTCTCTATCTCTCTCTGGTTTTTTAGAAGTATATTAAACACTCTCTCTCTCTCTACTCGTCTATTGAGGAGGCCAGAGGTTGAGGTAGGTCTTAATGTTATACTTTGTAGAAGTCATGGCGGCTAAGAAATTGTCAAAGTCTTTTTCTATGGCATTGATTGAAGAAGTGCAGAGATGGAGCGAATGAAGCAAACATGGGTGAGTTTGGAGTATATGATAGATTTTGGGTCTAGACCAATACTGAGAAGCTTGCTTATTGCTGCTCAGATTCTTCCCAAGGAGCTTCCTATATGAATTGCTCACAGAGCTCAAGAATAGGATAAACTTCCTTACGATTTTCCTGAGAAACCAGCGATTTTGAAGGTGGGCTTTTTCGAAGCTTTTTTGTTTTGCTATAAGCTCTGGATGTGATTTTTGCTGCATGATGGCAGAATTCTTGTTTACACGTTTTATGTTTCTTTTTTTGGGTTCCTCTTTCATGGGTTTCCTTTTTGAAGCTCCAGTTGGCCTCAGGATGGAAACAAAGGATACCGCACAAAAAGAGGAGAAACAAGAACTTAATGGCTCCTTTAGAGAGAGAAAAGAGGGACTCACGGGTTCAAAAGAATGGGTTACGGTAATAAGATTACCGTAAAAAATAAGTTATATATTACGGTAATTAAAGTACCGTAATACTACTTCAAGGTATTACGGTATTTTAATTACCGTAATAATCCTTCAACTTATTACGGTATTTTAATTACCGGAAAGCTTATGTATTACAGTAAAAAGACTACCGTGAAAGTTATTTTGGTTAAAAAAAGCTGAAAATTATGAGAAAAAGTATAGGTGAGGTTTTGAAAAATTGGGTTTTTTTTTTTCAGTTATAGTAAAATATAGGTATATTAGTGATAATTTCCCTTGTTTCTACTAAAATAGGAATGAGCTCAAGATTAGGTGGTCAAGGTCATAAGGCATCACTATGTGCCATCTTGAGTTCCAATCCTACGACAGGTAGGTACCCTACGCATTACAATAGGTTGGCCTTGGGTTAGAAGCAAAGTGGGCCCTACCAATGCCCTAGTTTCTACAAGGCCTGCCTTGCCTGGCCCGACCCAATCGAGGCCCTAGCCTTGTCTCGGCAGAGCCAAATACAATCCAAAAAAAAAAGGAAAAAAAAAAGAATAACGAAAAAAAGGCTAGGACGGGTCGCCTGTGTCATGGTCTTGGCCCTAGCTCAGCATGGCCCTTCCGTGGGCCGTGGTGGCCCAGCCCTAGCCTTGCCCTCGAGCCGCATCTTGTGGTCTAAGACCTTGTTGTTTAGGCCTTGGCCGATGAGGCCAGGCTAGCCAATTAGGCCAAGCTGGGCCGCTCGGCCCATTGCCACCCCTAAGTGACACTTTCCCCGCTAAAGTAGCCAAAAAAAACAAAACCTATTTGGAAGCCAAAAGATTGTAAGCTTATGTAGGAGCATAATAGGTGTCTACTCCCTCGGAAAAAAACATTGTCCAATAGTTTATAATGGGTCGGGCAGCGGGCTAGGCTGCCCGGCCATGGCCACCCCTAGGTGACCCTCTCCCCATTGAACTACCCAAAGAAAACTCTTATGGAAGGCAAAAGATTGTAAGCTCCTGCAAGAACATAATAAGCTTCTGCAGGAACATATAATAGGTGTTTAGCACGGTCTAACAGTAAAAGTAGTAACTCTAGATTCATTCTCATTTAATATGAAGCTAAAGAAATAGTCCAGATTTAATGATTTGGGAAGAACGAAATTGAATAGTCTAAAGACAAAGTTTAAAATAGACTCTGTTTAAGGCTTGAAATCCTTATTTTCACATTTGTGTTTATCGTAGGCATTGGTAACCCAGATCATCATGTAAAATTTTAAGACCAAAATCAATATATAAGATGGAGTTTTAAATAAGGCCACATTTGGATTGGTGTGTTGGTTGGCATTTGGATGGATTGATGAATAGAAATTTAGACTAATTGCTTGGGTTTTAGTTATGAGAACCAAGGTTCAATTTCATCCCAAATAAGTATCCTTTCTAGGAAATCTTCCTAAAATCATGAAAAAAATAATAGAATACCCTAATTGTGATTCATGCTTTTATAGGTTTTAGTCATGGAAACAAAATACTAGAAGTACCCTAATTACGCTTCATGTTTTTTTTTTTTTGTCTTGTGTAGTTCATAGGGGAAGGGGTCCCCTAGATGTTACGTTGTGACATCTTGCCACTCTAACCATCTAGCCTTGAACCCATTTGAGAAATTTCATGCCTCCCCTTTTCTATTATTTCCCAATTCTTTTAGAATTTGCTCTCTTAAGGCTTCTCAATCATCCTCCTATGAATACACTTTCCCTTGTAATATATGGCGTATGTTAATGACCTTTCTTAATCCGCACATAAATTTATTGAGCATGTAATTGCAAAGTTTGCATAGTAATAGCACCACTTTAACCTTAGCTAACGGATTAAATATCCCTTCCTATTGATACATTCGAAAAACGGGGAAGAGAAAATAATCCCACTAATCTACCCCCCTTAAAAAAAAAAAAAAAAAAAAAAAAAAAACGAAAATTTTATGTTTGTCTTTATTTCATCCGTACATGTGCACACAACTTGGAAAACCTAATATACCCATTTATTTCTCTCGGCGTTACCATTTTGGAATTGTTTAAAGAAACCTTTTTTTTTAAGTCATTCGACGTGGTTCCTCTGGAGCATCCTATACACTTACTCCTATGGGTAGGATTTTTTAAATGCAAAATCTGAGATCTAACTGTAGAATCACTAGAGAGTATTTTGGACTCTCTAGGAGAAAAACCCATATCTCGAAAGTCATCCTTCCTTTTTCCTCTCTTTTGTTTTCAAGCTTACTATTTTTTCTATTCGAGATTAGCCCTTATCACAGATTAACATTACTTTCATGATATGCATTCAATCTTGATCTTAATTTATCCATTCCAACTTATTATATTAGGGAAGTCTTTAAATTATAGTAGAGAGGAAAGACCTTTCATAGCCCAGCTAATGCTACTGATCATGTGACCCAAAAGAGGGGTGGAAATATAACAATGTAATCAACTTCATCACCTGATGCTCTCAGGATTATGAAATTTTTTGCAAATGCTTTAAATGTTTCTCAAATTTATGTTGTGCATATTTTCAGCAATATATTAAAATTTGAAATGTGAACTTCATTTTTTTCCTCCTAATCGGAGAGAGAGATACAAAGGAGAGATTTAAAGGATGATTGGACCAATCAGACACTATAAATGTTTATAGGAACAGAGATTATAGGGAGGTAATGATATCTAAATTACATGAACAATGAGACATTATAGATAACTTTCCTCTTCATTTGAATTTTCAAATGGAAATAATGAGGCATATTCAACATTCGAAGTGCATCAGGTTCGGGTTTCCCTTCATAATCTTCAATATAATCAGGGATTCAAGCATCACAATCTTCATATAATCATGGATTCAAACAATGATGAAAAGAATTCCAGTCGTCTCCTTCGTCCTCTCTCGCCACTGTATGGAAAGTCGAAAGTTGAAGCTTGTAGAAACTTCAGTTGTAGACCATGTACTTAGGAGTGGCGCTGAACTTTTGGTAACCTTTGATAACCTTGTTGACTGCATCAAGGAAGTCTTTTTCAGTCACAGTTTTCCTTCGAGCTCGAATGGCAAACATGCCTGCCTCTGTGCACACGCTCCTTATATCCGCCCCTGAATAAATACCCAGAACTAATAGGTAAAATTCTCTCTTCCTTTCTTATTAATGGTCAGTCTTTTTTGTTAAACAGTACATGCAGAAATATTAAGCGTTATTTCTGATGATAATGGACAAAACTAAAGAAGTAGACACAGATCTAACTGCATACAACACAAATTAACAAAAATAAAAAATTCAATCCAAAGTTCCACGTCAGAGTTTTGTGTGCACGTCTGTTTTCTTATATTTTCTTTTGGTTCCTTGCTCAGAATGTGGATTCAAAAACTTTGTAGAGTGGAGTCATAATATACAAATAGACTGAGTGCATAGCTTTTGAGAGCTTAAACATATACCATGCCAACTTAGCTTGAAAAAAACAACCCGAAGTTACCAAAAATTCAATGCTAAACTTTGGTCGCACGAGAATAAAGAATACAAATCAATTCGTTGAACTCACCACACAACAACTTATAAATAGAGATAAATATCCGTGGAGAAATACAGTATGCCATTAAGAATAGAAATAAGAAAAGAACAGAAATCGGGCAGCTTAAGGAAATTTGTTGCAAAATCCCTACCAGTGCATTAGGATTCATAAAATCAAAATTAAAATTTGGCAGTGCTATCAAATGAGATTTGCTAACCAGTAGAGTTGGGGCATAGGCGAGCAAGGAGCTCAAACCGGATAGCCCTCTCACAGTTCATTGTTCTAGTGTGGATTTTGAAGATTTGGGTCCTGCTTTCCAGATCAGGCAACCCAAACTCAACCTTACGATCAAGTCGACCAGGTCGTAAAAGTGCTGGGTCCAATGTATCTGGCCTGCAAGCAAAACCAACCAAAATCTTAATGGAGGATTAATTTCTGCACTTGAACATAAATTCAACTTCAGGATAACCTTCGGAATAGAAAACACCATTGGTATCTCGTGGTAACAATTTATTAATCAAGCATATGTTTCTATTCTATCTATAAATGAATAATGAACGCAAGTCAACACATCACATGACATCTGAGAAGTAAATATAAAATTTCAAATCCAATATTATTATCCTATATACCATTCTAATGAATCACATCCAAAAAAAACTAGTCTTAAGAAGGAACATAAACAATAAGTTCCATTTTAATGCACAAGTGTTAATCATTTTAGGGACTAGTCTTCTTCAAGTCCCTCTCCACCATCTCTCTTCCAAGGCCAAGCATTATTAACCGTGTCCCCTTTTTTACTTACATGAAGTAAATTTTAAAAATCATGACTAAGGTCTCCTACCATCCATTCGTTTTAGACCATTCACTTCTAAGTCCACAGACAAAACCAAGGTATACAACCCTAGTTCTCTTGAATCATTTACTTCTTCATAATAAATTCACCCTCTACATCATCACAACCCCAATGTGACGTCATAGCAACTTATGAACCACCAGATCAGGTCCCACTCCCTCCTGATGAAAAAGACCAAAGACCACAGGCCACAGTCGAAAAATATATTAAAAAAAAGGACTGCTAAAAGCCATAGGCTAAGTTGTTTTTTCCAACCATGAATCAATATTCAGTTGGTTCATAAGAGGGCTTTTGCCAATTGCATGAAATTCAATACCATTGTTACACTTCTTGGTTTCAGACAAGATCTATTGCAACTAGTCACTCATAATTGTAGAAGTTCTAGTTTTACCGCTTGCCATTTTCTCATTTGTTAGATTTTATGTACCTTATTGTGCACAGGCAAACTCTTGCTGTTATATTGAGAGGGCCATTCAAGCACATCATCACATAAAAGGTATGGTTGGCATGCCTCTGGAGCTCAATATAAAAGTTCTCTTCTCAGATGGGCCCCTTATTTTTGACCGCACGAATTAGTGGTGCGCTAGTCAGATCAGCCTTCAATTCTCCAATCTCGATATCATGTATGTAGTGCACATGCTTAGCCAACTCTTGGTATATCGTCAATGTAACATAACTATATCCACATTAATATACCAAGATGCATCCTTACTGTGCACATGCAAACTCTAGTTGTTCCATTGAGAAGGCCATTCAAGCACATTATCAACAAAAGGCATGAGTCGTCATCCCAATTCCCTCTGAATTGAGCTTGCTTCGTCATTCTATATATAGTTTTTTATAATATAAGCCCACGACATCATATGCCCATCTAATAGGCAACAAAATGGTTGGCATGCCTCTCGATCTGAATATAGAAGTTATCTTCTTAGATGGATCCCCTTATTTTTGACCCTACGAATTAGTGTTGCCGGTAGTCAGATCAGCCTTCAATTCTCCAATCTAGCTATCATGTATGTAGTATACATGCTTAGCCAACTTTTGGTGTGTCCTTTATGTATATGCTATATCCACTCTAATATAACAAGATGCATCCTGTTATTTCTCCATCATTTTCCTCTCACTTACAGAATATTCAACTTCTAGATAATCGGATAACTACATTTTGCTTTCGAAATTCTATTTGTACACTCTCTTACACTGTGAAAGAGCAAAAGGACTGAGGCTAACCTTGGAACTGATGTCAAGGTAGACAATAATAGACTGAATAGGCAGCTCGTGCCTCATACTACTAGAAGATAATTGGGGATAAGAAGCTTAATTGTAACACACTGCCTAAAAATATTGCATTAGATCAACCATGCTCTTCTAGATGAGCGACCATGGGTCCACTTAGTCTTGAGGGAATACCTTGACCACCACATAATTGCAATACTTTTTGCTGAAGATCATCCAGTTATATTCTCCACATATCCCCAAGAAAATTGCCACAGGGATATCCCCCCAAGGTAACCTATCAGTGAGAAAGGAACCAAGGACCACCATTTCATGTGATCCTCTACCATATGTCAACTGGATGAAGAAGGCTGTCTCTTGACCTGATCTCTGTTGTTTCAACATTTTGTGTCTCCCTTGTGTCTTTTGCTGTGTTCTTTGCCATATTGCATCCAAGCACTTTTTGGTCTTTCCAAAATAAATTATTTATTTTGCCTCAAGAGATATTTTTTCCTTTCTTATATTATTTCAGGTGCATTTAAATGAATGATGAGTTTAAAATGTTAAGCTTAAATTGTCCAACTTCACACAACACACCTTTTCTTCTTAATATATGGTGTAAATTATCCAGATCTCGACACATAATCAATCATCCATTCCAAGCAATATAATCATGTGGATGCAGAAATGTGTGTAGTAAGATAAGACAAGACCATTGCATTACAAAGAAGCAGGCAAAGCAAACTGCTGTACCTATTAGTTGCCATTAGAACTTTGATATTACCGCGAGCATCAAACCCATCAAGCTGATTTACAATTTCAAGCATTGTACGTTGAACTTCATTATCTCCTCCTACACCATCATCAAATCGAGCCCCTCCAATGGCATCCACTTCATCAAAGAAGACAATGCAAGCCTTCTTTGAGCGAGCCATCTATGAGAAAAATAAGATTAAATTTACATAAGCATATATATCAAAACAAAAACTTACGCAACAACATTTTTCTTGAGAAAGAGAAAAGGCAGACTGGACAACCTGGAATAGTTCACGAACCATCCTCGCCCCCTCCCCAACATATTTTTGAACAAGCTCACTTCCAATAACACGAATAAAACAAGCATCAGTTCTGTTGGCTACAGCTCTGGCCAATAGTGTTTTTCCTGTTCCAGGGGAACCATAGCAAAGTACACCTTTTGGAGGGTCAATACCAAGCTTCACAAACTTCTCAGGGTGAAGCATAGGCAACTCAACAACCTGAGAAGAAAATGTGAAGTAAAAAAGGTCAAAATGTTTAAATAGAAACGGCTGAACTTTAGACATCGCAATAAAATTCGTGAAAATAACATTTTACGATCATCAACTCAAAGCCCATGTCAATTAATTTTGCATCTTACAACAAAAAAAACTAGTTTTTGATCTACTCTCCAGCTGATATCTAAAATTCTTGTAAGAAATATTATAGTTCCAACTTCCAGTTTATTCCTTACAAATGAATTAAAACAACTCATTTTAAGCAAAAGGAATCGATACTTAAGGTTGTAATATTTTTTACAGAAGAATAGTTTTTGTTACAAATATGATTCCGAATTACACTGTGATAGAGAGAAAACATTAATCAAACCTTGAATAGAAGCACCAATGGCATCAAAAAGCGTCGCTAGCAAAGCTTCAAGGCTGCAAGGATTTCAGATACTGGGAGCCAAAAAGGTAAAATGGGATCCATTTCTAAACATAAAAAAGTGGAACTTGAGGCTTAAACTCTTGTTACCAAAGAAGCTGAAAGTGAGTAGCGTGCATGATGCAGTAAGAATATGCATTGAATAGATCATTTTATTTTTATAGATAAAATAAATAATTTTATTGTCAGTAATTGGACAAACAAGGTCCAAATGTGCAATTAGTGTACGTTAGAGAGCGCACCATCAAATCCGATCAAGAAACTCCAACCTTGGAAATTTGAATTCCTGGTGACGATTGTGGGACCCATGGGTGGTCAAAATTCCAATTTGGGGGTGCTTTTTACAAATGCAATGGTAAATAGCGCACTACAGTAAGTGGGATATTTACTATAGTAACTGGCACCCCATGGGGTACCCTGAAGTGCCCCTTGGATCACCAGTTTCCTTGCTTATGACTGAAAATAGTACACTCCTGTGGTGGATCCAACAATATTTACCCTGCAATCGGATGGGGGAAATATTGCGTAGCATGGTCCCATAACAGTAAATGTCCAGTTTCATACATAGGATTACATAGATCACCATAGCATGCATCACCACATGTTACATTTATAGAGATATGGGAAAAGTGTGGGTTTTCCACATCTATAGATAACCCAGAATGAGAGAAAAGTGGTATTATAATGCAAAATTCACCTCTCGCATCTTTTCAATCTGCTCCGTACACCCGCCCACATCATTGTAAGTGACATCAGGTTTCTCTTCAACTGTCATCATGGTAACACTTGGGTCAATCTTTGGTGGCAAGGGAATCTGAATTTGATACTTATTTCGATCAACCCTGTAAGATTAACATATATTCATCAAAACAGCACAGGCAACATCATTACCTACTACAGCATTAAGAAGATCTTAACAACAATGAAACATTCTTTCAAAAGCAGCTAAAAATACAAAAGCAACAAATGAACACACTGTAATTTAACGGCAAAGATTAATCTGTTGATATTCTTTCTCAAGAAAGGAGAGCAAGAATATGGAGATGTGTACTTGTGTTAAGAATTTCATATGATACATTCAAGAATGTGATAAAACTTCTCAAACTGTAGAAATGAAATGAACAAGTGCCACCATATTAAAAAAGTAGTGACACAAGAAGATCTCTTAGTTACTAAAAGGACAAGACAAAGTCATAAGTTCACATTTTTCAGTGGCAAATAGCTAAAAAGTACAAATTAAGATTAAGAATATCATAGATTGAAAAGCAATAGAACCACCCAGATTCATTAACCAGTAAGCTTCTTCTTTTCTAATTCAGAAAATCCTATTCATTTCCAAGAAAAAATCCAGTGGAAGAATATCCTCATAGTATCAATTTCATTGCAGACAACTTGTGAATGGAACTGACAAGTGACAAATTAGTGAGATGGGCCAGGCAACAAAACAAAGTTTATCCAATATAAGAGAACAGCAACATCACACATGTGACGTACTAGCCTGCTGCAAATATTGCATAAACTTCCAAAAACAAACTCCACAAAAACCATTGAAGTTATTAGCCTCATCAAAAGCAAACATGACAAGGAGAGCGCTGAGGGGATCCTAAATTGTAGCAAACAAATCCCACCTTCTCCAAAGCATAGAAAGCTCAGAGCCTATTGTTTCTACCAAGCCTTAGTATAGAGCAATCTAAAACCACCTAATCAATCAGAAGCAAAGTTCAAAAAGGCGCAGGCGACTGCCCAGGAACAACTTTGAGGGGCGCCTTTTTTTTGGAGGGGTGGGGGGGCTGGGTTGTATTTTTTTTAATGTTTTCTTATGAATTCCAACGAGATTAGTTTTTAATGGTTTTGTATTAATTTTGCGTTCCACAAGAGAGGGAGCCATTCCCTTCCTCTCGTGTGTTTGTGGGTGTGCTTTTAAGGTACTGAGGTGAGGCAGACATTAAAGGCCATGACAATAGCCATTCCTAATTTCAATTAATTTCAAAGGAAAACAACGGATCTTTCTTTATACGTATATTTGCTACAGATGAACGGAGCCTCACATCTCTCTCTCTCTCTCTCTCACACACACACACACACACACACACACACACACACACTCAAACACAACCACATAGCGGGGCACTGTCCTCTCTCTCTCAGTCTAGGCAGAAAAGTTCTAAAAAACATCCCCCAAAAAAAGAAAAAGAAAAAAGGAAATCCCGTTTTGTTGATTGCAGCAGCCTCATTGCCTTGGGGCACCGAGCACCCAGGCGGGTGCCTGGGAGCAAGGAGGCCCTAGGCCCTGCCTAGGCGGCCACGTTTTGGCCGGGCAGCATGGCGGCCGAATTTTCAAACATTGATCACAAGCATCCACTAACAGGTTTGAGAAGGTCTAAATGGACATCGGCAAAAAGGAGTCCTAGATGAACATCCTTTGGAATTACATGAAATGGACTCTCCTCCATTTGGAAAGTGTAACCACGGAAGGGCTCGGGGATTGCATTAGAAGGTTGAAGGAGGTTAGTAATGGAATTGATATTGAAGGATGAATGAGAAGCTTAGGGGCTCTGGCAAGTGGGTAACCAAGTTAGTATCAACTAATCACCAGTTCAGCACATTCACTCCATTTCCATCCACACAAAAATAGGAACATCATAGAGCCCCCTATAAAGGAAGACCCAAAAAACAGGGGGAAGAAAGTTTAGACACTTCTGGTCACTGAATTTCCACTTAACGAGCATCATGTAGAATTTTTTGATTCAGCAAACAGAATTTCAATCTCAAAAGGAAAATAGGCTGAGTTCTTACCCTACACGCATGCCTTCTTCAATGTCAGTGGGGGATACCTTGTCACCTAAGCCAACAACAAACTGCATTCATTGAAATTGTTAGATCCATAACACACAAAACATAAAACTGTTTTTTCTCAAATATAAGTGCAATAGAATGCTTATGCTGCAAAATGTTACCTTGGCAATTTGCTTGACATTTATAACATACTTGGCATCTTCAGAGTTCTGGTTAATAATCTTTGTGCATCGAGCGACCTACATGACCAGAATTGAATTCCTTTTAAGCACTTGGTAACAACAAAGAAACCTAGAAAGACCACATCTATCTGGTTGGCCTCATTCACTTCTGAACTAGATTGCAGATCATGAAATAAGATATAACCAATTTCTGCAAGAAATACCTGGAGAGGCTGTTCCTCTTGCATCATTTGCTTGTCAGAGACGAGATCCCATTGACTTGGGGCAGCCAAACCAGTATCAGATTCTTTAATTCCTGTATTATTAAGATAACTTGAGAACATGTCAAGGTTACAAACGAAGCAAGACAAACACATACCAACTGAACAAGAATAGGGATTCCATCATTTAATAATCAAAACTCAAAACTCGAATTTAACCACAATTTAGGATCACGATTGTGAAACAAGGTTCACCATTATGTATTGAACATGTCAAGGTTACAAACAAAGCAAGACAAACACATACCAACTGAACAAGAATAGGGATTCCATCATTTAATAATCAGAACTCAAAACTCGAATTTAACCACAATTTAGGATGACGATTGCGAAACAAGGTTCACCATTATGTATTCACAAAGTCTAAATGATGGCAGCTATTACAAGGATAGCTGCTAAATTGAGATGAGTATTTCCTATAGTTGGCAACTGGAAGGACCTTCACTCCAAGACACAAAAAAGAGACTTGGACAGAGACAAGAACTAATCGCACCTATTAGTGGATGCCAAATATTACTTCCAGACTACAAGAAATGGTATCAACTGAATAAAAAATAAATAAAAACTAGTATCAAGGAATTTACAGATGATCTGCATCCATAAAAATTCATATGTAGACAGCTCACCTATGATAAATATAACCTACCTAAATGCTGCTGGCAAGGTGAGAAACACAACCCCTATTAATTAATACAAAACAATTTATAACCCTGAGAAAACAGCCATGGGTAGGAAATGCTCATCTTGGTTTGCAAAGAAAAATTCTTTACAATGCCACAAGGTGCTGCATTAAATTAATATCTCCAGTATAGACGATCAGGAGATTAGTGGCTGACTGGCTGGTGTTTTTCTTGCTGGGAGGGATGAGAGCTCTAGTTTTTTTAATTTTTAATTTACTAGTCTCTTTGGAGATACCCAGGGTTGTTTTGTTGAAGGGGAAGATAGGATTCGATAGTCATGTCTAAAGCTTTGATCAATGGTAGCTTCTCCTAAAGATTAGATAATCGATAGTTTCTTTGACATTGGGGATATTAATTCCTTAGATTTTTATCAAGTAAAATTTTGCATGTCCTCAATCAAGTAGTAATCTTACCACATAGATCATTAACCTTCTTGGCCATTTCTTTAATTTCCTTCTCCACCTTCTTTATGCCTGTAGAGTAAGGCCCCAAACCCTGCATTAAAGAGCACCAAAATCTCAGGCACCAAAAGGCCACCTTACTAATGAGCGTGCAGAGAAAATTCCTTTCTTCTGAATACATGTACAAAACCCAGATACGAGAGAAACAAACAAAATGCAATCATAAAAGCGGTGAGAGGAAATTTGTAGTTTTATTTGGATACCCTACCTAAATTCAGAAACCCCACCTTCATTCAGAAACCCTAAAATAAGACATGCATGTTGCAGTTTTTTTTATCTGTAGACTGTGCATGGTGCAGTTACAGAGTCTTCAGTAAAGATGTGACGAGAATAACAATTGCACATAAAAAAATGTGCACTAAAATCATTTGGAAGGTAAGTCCATAAAAAATGTCCAATGGAAAAAAATGAATATTTCAATGGAAAGGAATTGAATATTTCAACGGAAAAAAATGAATATTTGGCAGCATGTGCACTTGGAAGAGTTTAATGAACAAACCCATTTATAAAGTGAAGATCGGATCCTTGTACAAGGCAAACTGAAACCACAATAGATACAATGCATGTCCTATTCAATCCCCAAATAAATCTAAAATCAAAGTTATTGTTCTATAGTTAATCAAACATCAAGGCAAACCAAACCAAAAGAGTGACAAAATGAACCAAAACAGTGCATCAACTACACTCTATAATCTATGGCTTTCTTTATGGATAAAATGCATGGCTTATTCAATCCCCAAATAAATCTAAGTTTCATTCTATAGTTAATCTAATATCAAAACTTGTATGGAGGAAAACTTGGGACAAGGTCATGCTCGAGTACGCAATCCCTAAAGACTACAGAGAAATTCCAAAATATCAAATGTTCAATTTTGAACCAAATTGTTCATCATAAATTGAAGGAAGCTGAAACAATTTGAATCTAATTGTTAAACATTAATTGAAGGACACCAAAACAACAAATCTTCCATTTAAAAAAAAGCAAACACCCATGTTAACAAGCATATAATACAAGATCACTGAATCAACAAACTTCAAAGAAAAGGCATAAAATTAACATTAAAATTTAACCTGAAACAACAATCATGATCACAAAATGAGACCAATCTAAAGCCTCAAACTACCAACTACGAAAAACCACCAAGGAAAGACGAAACAAGTTATTTACAAACTAAAACTATCATCACAAATGCAGATAATAATAATCCGAAAGCATTATTAGATCCCGAACCAAATCTCACATCACAAAAAGCAAACAATTCAGAAACGTAAATAACGTGCTTAGGAGCAAATCATGAATCATAAAAATCCCCAGAAAGCTATGGGGGAGTGAAATGGAAGAAAAGCCGCAAGGAAGAGAAACCCTAGAAAAGAAAATGAGAGAATGGGCGTACATAGGTCTTCAGTAGAGCAATGTCATCCTCGTCCAAAGGGCGGGGATTCTTCTGGTTGATTTCCTCCTCCGGTTCAGGCGCCATATTGCTTCTGCAACAATTCAGCAGCTCTCTTCTCTCTCTACTTTTTACTCTCTTTGAAGAACTCTCGCTTTATAGTCTCTCTCTCTCTCTCTCTTGGAGGGCTCTGTAACTCTCTCACTCTTCAGTTCTCTCTCTATTTACTTTTTCTCCTCTAATGAAAAATTGGAAATAAACCTAATCCCGTAAAAGAGGCCTTCCTTCATGCCATTGCCTATCAGCTCTTAAAGCCGGTGGTTTCCCCCGTAATTTTAAAAGTGAGAGTCACGTGATCCACGCGATCATACAATATCTATTGTTATAAGTTTCATCACCGTCCAATTTATTAAACTCACGAGCTGATGATAGATGAGCGTCACCCAAACACAACAAACTAGAAAACTCTCTTAATCTCCATCCAACATTTTATTATACGTTGATCATGACTGGTGACCCCACGATTTCTGTGATCACGTGGATCATAATATACTCTCTCATTTTCCTCCTACAAAGCTGGTGCGCCCGCTTCACAAGTCGCCATTATTGTATAAAACGTTTGATTTTGAGATTTTAGGGTTTTTCTCCCCTGCAGCCAACCCAATTTCGGGTTTTCCACTTGTACATTTCTAGGGTTCCATCTTCTAATTCCACTGACGTTTCCTACTCATATTTTGCAGCATTTTCACTAGGTTTCTTTTTGCTATACCGGTTGGACCTGCTTTTACATGAAGTCATGAGTGCTGGTTTATCACTCTTAAAGCTCTCATAACTGAACAAATATCTGAATTCTAGTTTTTTTTCCTCCTCCTATATAATCTCTGAGTTTCAGGGTGTTTTCTTCTTTGTAATGGTCGTGCTGTTTTCGCTGATACAATCATGAGGGCTAGGTTAGTCATTTTTCCTATTAGAGGGAGGTCTTGGTGCTTCACGAAATCAATCGATAAAGTTGCGCAAGACTCTGGTTTTAATCCAAGCTCACTCACTCTGAAGGATTTGTGGAAGAGGATTACCAAAAATGAAGAAGGTGTTCAAGGAAAGGCTGAAATTGTTACTGAATTCTTCTCAGAAAAGGTTGGCTTCCTTTATTTTATGTGTTTCAATCTCCATCAAAGGAAATTCCAGATTATTCATGTGTTTTCACACTTCAGTGGAAAATTTAAAGCAGAAAATGAATGATTGCACTGTGTCTGTATCTGTGTATTTTTCCTTTCAGATGAATAGGGCATGGCTTGCTCTTGGGGAGGCTCCAGATGGAAGTTTTAAGCATAAAATTCATGGGTAAAATTCTTGGTTAACTTTAGGGGTGTTTTTTTTTTTTTGGTCGTTTTCATGTTTAGACTTCACGTTTTCTCCTTGGGCATGTATTACTTATGAATTTATGATAGCCATTTATCTTTATACATTGTTTTTTTGAGAATGAATTCATATCTACGTGTTATTCATAGAATTTATATTGAATTGGTGTAGTATGGGACAGCTTTTATTAGCGCGAGTTCAACCATCTGAGTTTTTCTTGAAATCCATCTCCAAGGATATCACCGAGGTGGAAGTCACATTCCCTGCAAGGTTAGATTCTCAATCTCCTATTCATATTCTTAGTTTATTATCAGTATATTTTGTTTATTCCCTGATCCATATCATCCTGTTATTTGTTGTTGATTATGAGTTATTGTGTTTTGTGTCGATGTTCTCATACCTGCCATTCGTTTTGTTTGGTTAATCTGATTGTGTGTTGATGTCCATGATAATATGGGACAACAGTTATTTCATGGAGATACACTCATTGGGCATATTCATGTTTTTGTACATCATTGTTTTCTTGTGCACATGTAATGTTTGATGGTGCTCCTGCACCTGCTGTTAATAAGCTGATACTACTACCACCACCAACACTACTACACATGCTGCCACACCATCACTACTTTCTTTGGTGGCTAAGTTTACTCCCACTACTTCTACTACTATTGCTACTGCTACTGCTACTGGTACTGCTGCTTCTTGTCCTCCTACTGCTACTACTACCAACACACCTCCTCCTTCTACTACTTCTACTTCTGTTGCTGCTACTCTAACTACTGCTGTCGATATTACTGCTACTCCTGGTACTCCTGCTGCTACTACTGTTACTGCTACTGCAGCTGCTACTACTATTACTTTGATTGTTTATTGCGACCAATGTTTAATGTCTTGGCTGTGTCCACTCTCTCTCAGCCAAGTTACACGGACTTGACCCTTGGTTCAACTGAGTAGCCAAGTACAACTCGGGTACATCAAAAAATAAAAAATCAGAAAAAATATGTGAAATTTTGGGATCAATTTAAAAAAGTTGTACATATGTTTTACCCTGATTTATGAGTTTTTATCGTCAAATTTCATATTTTTATACTTTCCATTTTTTGGATTTTTCTGAAATGTCTCCAGCTGTAGATCCATTCTTTCAAACCCATTTTTGTATAGTATTTTCAGCTTATTTGGATTCCTTATGTTGGTTTTTGGTTTGGGTTTCACTTTTAAAGTTTTCATTTTATATTTTAGCTCTTTTTATTTTTATTTGTTAATTTTCCAGGTTTTTTTAGCTTTGTATATGACTTTGTAGAGCCCACTTGGACTCCTCCGGGTTACTCAGCTTGGGCCAGGGCCGAGTCTGAGGCCTGAGCAAGTCAAAAGCCATTGTTTGCCGCTGAGTAGAAATGTGTTATATATTGTGTCAAGTACCTTGTAAACTTTGTATTGCGATTTTTCCTCATGTCATCTATGATGTTATTTTAACTGAAGCTATGGTAACTTTAGTTTGATATTCTTTTTTGGTTTTCACAAATTTCCAGCTTGAATCCAAGGCTTGTTCGCCGTAGGCTGAGGCATGTGGCTATGAGGTAAATGCTTTTAAATTGTATTCTATTTAATGAGTTGCAATGCTGAGACTTGTGTCTAAAAACACTGGACTGGGCATGGAATTAGGCAAGGGGCAGGTCCAAGTCATCTCACCGAGTCCCAAGTCTGACCAGTCAAGCCTCAGTCCAGAATCACTAGTTTTTTAAACACCTGTCCTGGGCAAACTTGGTAAGACATGTTCAAGACTCAGGTTATCTCTGTTTGGGTCATCTAGAACTGGCAGGCTGCTGGTTCTGAGTGACTTGGGAAAGTCCAGCTTGAACTCCCGAGTTTTTTAACACTGGCTGAGATAGTAGCAGTTCTGTTATTTGACATGTTTAAACCCAGAAGGTGAATTTCAAGTGGGAGCATATTATTGTTTGTTTTCATGGGAGAGTTGTCAGAAATGATTATATGTTTCATCTGATTTCAAATGTTGTGAATGCGTCTTTGAATTGAAATTTATTTCATAGGCATATTTATGCTATGGTATTTTCAACTGGATTGGGTTTATTATCATTGCTTTATAGTTAGATTATTTAGTTTTAGCGTCATCCTTGCTTCTCTTATTATGTCTTTGCTATGCTGGGCATATGGAATGTGTGATAGAAGGTCTCTTTGTAAGGATTTAGGTGGCTCCTTTTAATATTTTAACAGAGTCTGAAACATACTTTTCACTTTTCCTTTAGCACCAGCTGCATAGGGATAATACTTCTGTTGTGCTGGTTGTGTTGAATCCATGGTTCATTTGTTCATTAGTAACATGCCTAGGGTGTTATTGTTTCATTTTTGCAATCTTCGCCTGCCTTGGTGTTTGAGGGTGTGGATGTGTAATTGCCGATCCAACTTAATATTGGAAAATGCTTCATTGCCATAGTATTCTATTACCACTGTTGCTGTTGTGTGTTTTCTTTTTCAAAGAAAATATTTTAGACTGTAAATAGATTTTATATATTGTTGTGGAATGCAATCCTCTTTATGGAAGCTCAACAAAGAAATCTTGTGATGATTCTACATGAAATACAAATTATGCAAATGCTTATATTGATTTAACACTTGGGCAAACTGCCCTCCTTGAAAATTAATTTAAACATGTACAAATGATTATTGGAATAATTGAATCATCCTTCGGCTACTATGAAATTCTATGAGTGATTGAGTGTTAATCCCTTTGCTGTATGGGTTAGAGGTATTCTACGATAGATGTTCTGTTCATTTCCTTTGAGAGAGTACTAAAATGCTGTTTATATAACGAGGCGGAGTTACTTTAGTTATTAACAAATGGAGAAAGAGTCTATGTGGTGGCTGGTCAATGTTATGTTTTTCTTCTATTGTTTCCAAAAAGAAAGCTTTTCAAAGAGAAAAAAACGTTATTTTTTCTTTTTTGAAAATTGGGTGGTAAATTTATTGATGTGACATTGGAGCGCAGTGGCAAATTTATGTGCTGGAAGTTACCCCTTGACAATGAGAGGTCTTTATATTGGAGATAAGACGTGCTAAAGTGTGCAAGTATTATGGTAGTCTTAAGTGTTGACTTGGAGAAATATGCCTTCTTCAGCTTGAGCTTGAGTTATAACTTAGTAGTTTTTAGTTTTATTCTATTTAAAGAATGAGACATCATTGCAGCTTATGGTGAGTTGTTGATCTTCAAATTTGGTGGAAGATCCTTGAGGTTGACTCGAGCTTGAACTACCCAGCTTGGGCTTGGATTCATTAGGGGTGGAAAGCTCGAGCTTTGACTCAACTTGTTTCCTTAAGTATGATAACTATATATTTTTGTTGATGGGACTCATTTTCTGGGACAAAGAAATGGATTACATGGACACAACTGTCTGTTTACCTAAATATCGATGACTGTGGCACCAACATTTTTTCAGAAGAGTGTGGTGCCAATTCTATTGTGCAAGACACCAGTAACTTGGTTGGGGGACAAGATTTATTGTCTATAAATGAAGGGGCAGCACTTGCAAGAAGTGTGCCTATTGAGCCAGTAAATGGCATGTCATTCGATAATGAAGATGAGCCGTATGACTATTATTTAAAGTATGTCAAGCTTGTGGTGTTTGGCATAAATAAGGGGGGTACATTTATAGAAGACGGTGAAAGATTTGGGTGTTTTGAGTGTTCAAGGCAAGTATATTGTCGTCATATATATGAGGGTAGTCAAGACTCTCGTCCCCAAACAAGGTGTGGTTGTTTGGCAAAATTGCGCCTTAAGAAGGATGACCAACAAAGATGGGTAGATGTTATGTTTGTGAAAGAGCATAACCATGCTCTCACATCAAAATTGAGTTCATGCGTTTCCATCGGAAGATTCTTGACTCCTTGAAAAATGTTGTCGACTTTATGGGGCATTGGTTGGTTAAGACAATGGTTATGATGGATTATTTTTACAAAGAGGGCCGGAGAAGCTGAAAATGTGCCGTTTATTGCTAAAGATCTTGAAAACCACCTACATATGGTTGGTTGCATTTGAAGAAAGATTCGAATCCTACTTTTTTTCTAGAGAGCGGCTCGGTGAATTAAGTAAGCTTATTGGTGTTGTTTGGATATAATCTAGTTTAATAATATCATATCAATTTTTCCATGACGTCGTAACATTTGATACCACATACAAAACAAGCGCATTCAATATGCCTTTTTGGTCGATCCTTGGAGTCAACTAGCACATTAATACTATTTTCCTTGGATGTACCCTTGTTTTTG